ACTACTGAAGCCCATGCGCCTACAGTAGCCTGTGCTCCGCAACAAGAGAAGCTGCCGCAATGAGAAGCCCGCGCACCACAACAAAGAGTAGCCCCCGCTCGCCGCAACTAGAGAAAACCCGCGCGCAGCAACGAAGAACAAATGCAGCCAAAAATAAAAATAAATAAATTTAAAACAAACAAAAAAACAAGTAAGCTTTGTCTAGGCAGAGCAGGGCATGGCGATATAGAGTCCTGACTGTCCCCTAAAGGAATCTTCCTGGAGAATCTGTTAGCTTCAAATCGTTCCAGAACCGGCCCTGGCCAGAGGTTCCTTGGAGTGTCATGGAGTTTGTGGCAATGGCCACCGAGGACTGACCTCTCTCCCCACCTCCTGCTGAAAGTTGCGCGTGTGATCCACGCTAGCAGTTATTACTCGCTTCATATGACTGAATTTACTCCTCGCAGGCATCCTGTGAAAGAGGTCAGTGGCCCCCTTCCCGCATGAGGGAGCAGAGGAACAGGACAGGAGGACGACGTGGTCTTGGTCCCAGGCCTTGTGTGCTCCGTCACTGCCCAGCAAAATGAAGAGCCACAGTGACGTGAGGACAGGACTGCCCTCCTGACATGGAGAAAAATCTGTCCACCATCAAAAGCCGTCCGGTTCCCTCCCAGCAGTAACTTGTGCATAATGGCTGTCCTTGTTTCATGATTATTTTATAAAATTTCGTTCTGCAAGTTTGAGTGGGGCTGCTAAAACTGGGGAATATTGTCAAAGAAGCATCCTGCAAAGAAGAAAGTCTTCACTTAGAGGGTAATGGGATTTTCACACCTTCTTCTGGAAAAGGTCATCTGAGATCTTTTGCCCTCTCCACATTTTGTGTAGAATTGGTCAGTGCGTAATGCAGGTTGCTTTTATAAGTCAATAAACACATTCCGTTTGTCTGGAATGTGCATTTTTCCTATATTTATTTGTTTATTTTTAACATCTTTATTGGAGTATAATTGCTTTACAATGGTGTGTTAGTTTCTGCTGTATAACAAAGTGAATCAGCTATACATATACATACATCCCCATATCTCCTCCCTCTTGCGTCTCCCTCCCACCCTCCCTGTCCCACCCCTCTAGGTGGTCAGAAAGCACCGAGCTGATCTCCCTGTGCTATGCGGCTGCTTCCCACTAGCTATCTCTTTTACATGTGGTCATCTCCATTCGGTGGAAGTCTCTCAGTCCCCCACTTTTTCATTCATTCAACAGCTGTTCATTGAGCACCTAGGTCGCCCTGGGCACTGTCCAAGGTGCTGGATGGAGAAAGGCTGGTGAGCCTCACGTGGGCCCCACTTGCATGGGGGTGCCCTGTGCTTGGATGTTCTCTGGAGAAGACAGGCTCCAGTGTGAAAATGATGCACGGTGGGGACCTGCTTCTTCCATAAAAGAGCCCTGAGGTTGGCAGAAAGATGGGAGCAGTGAAAAGCCGGTGACCATCAGAACACAGGACGCTTGCTCCTTGTGGAGACAGATTTTTGTCTGCGTTCCTAAATTCTGGAAGAAATGGCACGTGGGTTCTACAGGAGGCTGCTTAGTGTAGGGCAGGAAGCGGGGACTTGCAGCTCTCAACAGCCTTTCTGCATTTCTTGTTGTAAAGCAGGAATGATGTTTCTTACACACTTCTGAATCATTTTCAGTTGTGCTTCGAAAGTGCAAAGCATATCCCGATTTTGTATGTATTTTCAGTGTCCCTTTATGGGGCTGAGCGACAGGCTCTGTGGTTAGACTGTTGTGTGTACTTGGAGCTGAACCCAAGGAGACGGGAAGTGATGTTGGAAGTTCCCGGGATAAGGACGCAGCAGGGCATGTGCAGCGAGTGGAGTAGGGGTGAGGCATCCAGAAGACTTCTGCACCCTGAGCCTTTGCCTGTCAGTGGTTTCAGGGTGGATGCTGCAAAATTTATAGGGCAAGCGACTTTTTTTTTTTTTTTCCTTTGCAGTTGAGACTAGGACTTGCAAAGGCAAAATCATGGCCCTGGCGCGAGAAGTCAATGTGAGAAAAGTCCGTTTCCAGGTCATCGCACAGAAAAAAGGTGTGGGCAGCTCAGAAGCATTACTTGAAGCCCAACTCAGAGCATTTACTGCTCTCTAGAAATCCATTCCTTCCCTGGCTTTGTGGCTGCCTCATTTATCTGGGCCGTCTCTCGCCTCAAATCTTATCCTCCAGGAACGGCCGAGGTGGTGACCAACTTGGTCGAGCCGTGACTGCAAATTGAATTTTCTTGAAAGCTGTCTTGTGCTTAAACAGCTGGGGACGAACGCCTGGCCATTAGGAGTCTTCTGTGTAAAATAACGCCGTCTATGTTTGGGTGTGACTTTCTGTTTTGTGTCGCCTGCCTCTGCGAGGAGGGGTAACGTGCAGCGTGGCAGAAGTGAGGACGGGAGTGTATAAGAGGACTTGGTTCTGATGTGTGATGCGGAGGCTGTAGGTGGGATTCCACACCCAGGAGAGCAGACTGAAATGTCTGCAGGGAATGGGGCCATTATGCCCAGGACAGCGGTCCTGTGTCTGCTCTGCCTGGGGCTGGTTTTGCAGGAGCATCGTGTGTGGATGTGGAATGCCAGCCTGGGAATCGGCTGTCAGGTGGCCTGCCCTTTCCACAGGCATCCTGCTGGGCTGTTGGGTGCGTGTTTGCCAGTGAGACCCAGGAAAGGCTTGTAAAAACGGCCTGCTTTCATGGCTGCCGTGAGCCTGGAATTCTGGGCTTTTGGGTTTCTTTTCCTTTCTTCTTCATCTCTCTACTACTTTCACCAGAGCAACTTTAAAAGCTCATCTTGCCTTCAGGAACCTTTTAAATCCAGGACATGGAGATGGCACTGAAGACGCAAGGCCATGTGAGTTACATATATTATTAGGTCAGCTTGGACTATGTCTGCTGTGAGGACAGAGTGAGCTTTATTCCAATGATGGGTGAGGCTCCGGCCCTTGCTGAGTTCCCACTGTCCATATGTGATATTGTGATTTATATGAAGAAACACATTTATACAAAGAAATATGTATTTGGTCTTTGTCCGAGTTCCTGGCTCAGGGCTCCTGAAACCCTTGGGACTTCCTGGGTGATAAGGGTGATAAAGGTGTCTTTTGTTTCTCATAACAAGTCCCTTCCAACCGCACCTGCGTCACGTCAGTCAGCTGGCTGTTGGAAAGCCCTGAAGGATGGGAACCAACCCTGAGAGTAGAGAGTTGCAACTTTCAGCCTCATTTCCAGGGAGGGGAGACGGGTTGGAGGTTGAATCAGTCACCAGTGGCTAATGATTTAATCATTCATCGCTACAGATGAGGCCTCCATAAAAATCCTGAAGGGCAGGATTAAAACAGAAAATGTGACAGAGGAAGTGATAGGATTAAGAAAAATGTGTATAATTGGATGTAAATGAGATAAACCCATCTCTTAAAAGAATTGAAGTTAAGGAGGTATTTTTAAAAACATGCAGAGGGCTTCCCTGGTGGCGCAGTGGTTGAGAGTCCGCCTGCCGATGCAGGGGACACGGGTTCGTGCCCCGGTCCGGGAAGATCCCACATGCAGTGGAGCGGCTGGGCCCGTGAGCCATCCGGAGCCTGTGCTCCACAACGGGAGAGACCACAGCAGTGAGAGGCCCGCGTACCGCAAAAAAAAAACAAAACAAAACAGAAAAAAAACATGCAGAGATTCTGATATGAGTGCCCACTGAAAATCAGAGCATTTAGAAGCAGCAAGAAAGGGAGAACTCTGCCTGGTAGGACTATCTGGCCCAGCCCCATGGACCTGCAGACAGATCTCCACCTAATTTTCCTTGTTACCAACTGTTCGGTGGTACACGCGACGATTCCTCGGCATCCCCATTTCCCCTCCTGTAGAATCCAAGTTCATGCAGATTTAATTGGTGCCCTTGGAATGTTTATGTGAAATTCAGGTGAAGCCCATTCCAATCCAGGTTGTGGCTTGGGAGATCGGGCTGTTGAACATCAAATATTTGAATGGAGAACAAGATAATATACTTTTTTAATTGCGTTCTGTCTGAAATCTTTCCGAAGCCTCTGTCGTGAGGCCCTGCAGCTTTTCTAGTGACTGTGTTCGTAAACGGAATTAAGAGAATTCATTTCCCAGAGTTACGAGGCACAAAGGGGCATTTATCGTCTCTCTATTCAGTGCGAGAAGCCCCAAAACATGTTGAGCAGAAGAAGCTGGACCTTCCTCTCGCTCCCCTGACAAAAACTCCACATGATTCCATTTATATAACGTCCAGGAACCGGTGAACTCAATCCCTGGTAATAGGATTCAGAAAGTGGTTGCCTCTGAGAAACAGGAGGGATTGACTGGAAAGGGGCAGAAAGGGACCTTCGGGGAATAAGAGGAATTCCTGTATCTTGGTTTGGGAGAACACCATGCCAGAGCGCACCAGTGGAAAATCCAAGATCTTCTGTTTTTATTTGTGTGTAAATGCTAGCTCGTTAAAACTAAAAAAAAAAAAAAAAAAAAAAGTGGTACCTCTGACAGGTGTTCCTAGGTGCAATGCAGCAGAGATGAGGGATGCCCAGTGCCAGGACGAGTCTGGGAAAGCATCCTGGACGTGTGGAGGGAGAGGAGGGGGTGAATCAGGATTTCCAAGTGAGATTGGAAAGGCAGGAGGAGGGCTACCCCAGCCAAGTGACAAACCCGGCCAAGAGCCCAGGGTGAGAAAGGGCTCTGCCTGGTTACCAGGTGCCAGCAGCTGAAAAAGGAAAAATCCCACTTATTCCACTGAATTTACCTTCGTTTAAGGTTGAGTGCCTCTCTGAGGCTAAACTGATTCCACCTCGCCCATGCGAGCTTCACGACAGACTGTGTTCAGGGTTCAGTTTTCTAACAGCTTTTTAAAGATATTTCTAATCGATGTAAGTTTTTTCCAAGTAATACATTGTTCTTGGTACTTAATTTTTAAAAGAAGTAGTCAAGAGTGTTGCCTTATTCAAGTAACCTGATGGTTTCTCTGTTTTTCCTTTAAAAATAAAAGCTGCAGATACTTGTTGACACTGGAAGCAGCAACTTCGCCGTGGCCGGGGCCCCTCATCCCTACGTCGACTCATACTTTGACACGGAGAGGTGAGTGATGGGTCCGTGCCTCGCACGGCCGGGCTTGGGAGCACCGCATGAACACTTCAGAACACACTGGGAGAAAGTCACCAAAACGCTGTTTCATTCTGAGGGGGATATATTCATGTATGTATCTGTGTATGTATGTATCTATTTGTGTGTATGTGCATACAGTGGTCTGTATATATGTATGTATTTGTGTGTGTGGAGGTACCTGTGTGTACGTGCACATGGTGGTGTGTATATCTGTGTGTGGTGTGCAGGTGTGGCACGCGTATGTGCGTACATACATGTAAACCTCCATTCCAGATGACTCCACAGGAGGGTTCTCCTAATAACCTGGGTGTGTTCTCATGAGCGCCACTTTATAGAAACTCAGTCAGACAGCAGTTTTGTAGTCAGACCTGAGTCGCAGGGAGGTGACCCTTTGATGTTTGTTGGGCCCCTCTAGCCCTAACTTGGAGGTGCGCCTGAGCCGGGCAGGGGGCATTGGAGGTGAGTGTGAGACTGTTCCGGGCAGCAGCCTGGCGTTGCTTGGAAAGCCACCTTTGCATCGCCCTGAAGATTGGTGGCATGGGTCAAGGTGTGGTTCACTGAAACACTTTCTGTGCCAGGAGGTGTTTCTGACAAGAGGAATCCATGACTCATTGGAAAGGATGTATTGTGAGCACAAAGCCCTCAGGCCTGAGGCTGCAAGCTAGCAGCTGTGGGCAGGGTTGTAAGGAAGTGTGGAACCCAGATAGAAGTCTCTGGAATAAGACCAGACTGCGTGTCCAGGCGCTGGGACTCGTGCGTGTCACTGTTCATCTCTGAAGGGGCCCATGGAGTCAGAGTCACTATCCCCCGGGTATCTATTGCTGCCCTAATGCTGTGCACATTTTAATTTCACATCTATTTTTGTGACCCTAGAATTTAAACGAAACAGATAAGGCGAGTAAGCTGACGTGTGGTTTGCTTTTTTAGGGTCGTGAGCTGGTATATCACATTTCCCTGCTGCATATCTTCTTCGTGTCTTTCCTTTTTCACTCTCCCTACCCACAGTGTTTGGTTCTGGGGAATAAACCCCAACTTCAGTTGGGGGGGGCAAAAAAAGGAAGGAAACATACGAGGGAAAGTAACAACTGGGAAGGTTCAGCAAAGCCCGGGCAGCGTCAATAAGGCAGGAGACGTTATACTGAAGTGCTCATCTCTCTTCTGCCCGTGCATCTTGGTCTCCATTTTGATGGTACAAAGAGCTATGGTCTCCTGTGTGTCCAGCTGGAGGCAGTGGTAGTTGGTGCTACATGGGCCCCTGGGGCTACAGTGATAGCTGGTTGGCACCTCCTTCAGGGAATCTGTAGCTTAGTTTATGACTCAGCATGTTGATAACCTTTAATCACTGAAATTCTGGATGAAACTCCTGGCTTGTGATTGCTTTGTGAAGATTAATGTGTACCCTGAAGTTGTTACTGTGACCTCAGATGCCTGGAAATTGGGGCAGCGGGTGTGCAGCCAGGGGAAGGAGGTTGACTTTTGATCGCCGGCTGCCCTTTGCCCTTTCCCACTCAAATTGTGGTTTGTCTAAATCCTCTGCCCCAAACAGCCCGCTCCCCTCAACCACTTCATCATCGAACAGAAGTCAGTCCAAACCTCTCATTTTTATTCACGTAGCCCAGGAGGTCCAGGAACCAAGAGACTGGCCCAGGTTCAGGCTTCTAGGACAAGAGGTCCCAAACTTGAGCCCTGGCACCCCCTCTATAGAGTGAGCGCTTTGTAATGCCCTGAACTGAAACGCAAAGGTAGTGTGACTCATCTTCATATGTAATTCTAAACGCACTGATGCAATATGCAGGAGTTTGGGGGTGCGGGGTAAAAGGAGGGAATTCACAGGAAGGTGATGAGTACCTCTATGTGTAAACACCCTGGGTAGGATACACATGAAGTTGGAGGGTGCCTGAGGCTGTGAGCATCCCCACAGACATGCAGCGCCCAGTGCAGACTGACAAATCGGATTAAAATAGACTCCGACGCCCAGAGCAGCTTGGTTTGGTGATGTGAATTTCCCAGATTGGTGAAGAATCTTAGTAAAGTTTCCCCCTGAAAATATCACCTTCCTCAATTTACACAGTAGTTGCATTCCTAGAAAACGCAGTGTATGTTAAACTATGTAAAAGATGTTTATCCTGGTGGCAAGGCAATCCCAGCTCTATGTTTTTTCCACTACAAGGCTCTTCCTAGTCTACTCATTCACGCCGTTTCCCCACGCCTACTGGGGGCTCTGCCTGCCATAGAGACAGAACAGACATCCCTGGAGCTCAGTTACATCTTTAACAGTTTTCCTCCCCAGAGCAATTTTGTTTTCCATCACGCGTCTGTGGACACATGATACAATACAGCAACGGTACAGCACAGTAAAGCCAAGTTCGGGTCATGTGTGTATCCACTTTATAGATTTAAATGTGTAAATCTAACACCACGGGTGGGTATTTCCTTCCCAGTAGGTAAGTGGCGCAGCCAGGGGTCAATAAAGGTCAGAGTGTGCTTTCGACCAGGTTACCCTTTTGCTATGCAGATGCAGTTATGGAAATGTACAAGGGTAAATAATAGTCAACATTACAAATCCTGTGTACAGTGTCATTCAATAAGTGTACAGTATTTAATCGATGGTAGACAACGGGCTGTCTTTCTCATTTGCCTTCGACTTTGTTCATGGTTGTGTTGAACCATGGTTCTCTTTCAGCCTTCAGTGGGACACATCCTTCTAAGCTTCCTGCTAGCCAGTTTGGGGTTCAGCTGGCAGATGGCTTTTGTCTTTCCTACTTAAAGGTGGAGCTCCTCTGGCTCTTTCGCAAACCTGATTTAATGTGAAGACTCCTGGGAACGTGCATAGCTCCCAGCAGGCCTGCCCTCCTGCTAATCCCACAGAAGAATTCCGGGCTCCCTCCCAGCTTTCTGAGCACTCAAGGTTCTCATCTACTTCTCCCTTCTGAGCAAATAAAGAGAGACGTAGCAGAACCTGCCAGCTTTCAGAAGCCCCAGACTCCCTTGCACTGTCAGCTTCCTCCCATTGGCACCTCCGTCATTCAGACTTCCACCTGCTTTCCTTATTTGCAAGTATTGTTGACATTTACTTAATACCTTTAAAACATGACCCATTTTGGACCCCTAGCCCTGGTACTGCCTTTCTTTTAAGGAGATCTCTTCTTCAATAGGGCTATCAGGTTTCTTCCTAACTGAATCAAAAGTAAAACATCACATTTCTGAATTTTAGACAAGTTCTCTTCCTAAACAGCATCCCTACGAACACGTGTGTTTTGTAGGGTAAATACTTGCTTAAATTTATAGTAACCGTTCTTTCTCTCCTTTCCTCTGTTTTTTTCTCCGCGCTTCTCATAGGCTTATGTCAACACAGATTTATCATTATAAAGACATGAACTATAATTTACATAGTAAAGTGTGTAGGATTCATTTGTCTGATGCTTTCAGCTAACTTTAGAATGGGCCTAAGGTACACCTTCCACCATGGTATTTGATGGAAGCCGAGGGAATGTTCTACGTCCTTTCTCAATTTTTGACAAAGGTTTCTTTTCTGAGATGCAGCTCCCTGCCTTGTGATGTTTCTGTATTTGCTTTGTCCCTCTGATCTCTCTTGGTTATAGTAAGGTTTCTGGTTGGGTTTGTCAGCCTCTGATTCAAGTCCCCCAGTCTCTGGATATTCAGGTTTAATGCTTCCTGAAACATGTCCCAGTAATTGGAGATTTCACTTGGGGTACTTTGACAAGATCTCTTTGATTTGTGGAATCAGACATCAGGTTACCATTCGTCATTTGTGTAGCTTTGTCCCACCAGAAGCCCTCTTTTCATGTTGGTGAATGTTCCAATGAATTACTATATAGCAAAAAGACTGTCATGTATTTTTTTTAGATGTACTTCTTTTTTAGCGAGTAAAATAGCCTCCAGTCAATTGGCTTCATGAGAGAGTCAAAAGACTCATTCCCCCTGACCTTATACTAATCTTTTCAGGAAATTAAGTCTATTTTCATTAAAAAGCTTCCTCCTCCTATACTCCATCTGGGGTGAAGCCCACAGAGTAACTGTGGCAAGAGAGCAATTTCTTGTCCTCAACTGATGCTTGTAAGTAGAATTGGGATACTAGAAAATTACCAGCTAATTTCCTTAAGGAGGCTGAGCTGGAGCCTTGAGACCCAGTGCCTCATCTTTCCATGTGCTGATGACAGACATTTTTGCCTGATTATTTAGATAATTTCTTGAGCCTGCCCATTGCTTGCCTGTCCAGGAGAGGTCTTGCCATATTGGAGCCCTGAAGCATTTGCCATTGGCGAGGACGTTGATGACGCTCCAGGATGGATGGAAGTCCCTGGGCTGTCAGTGGCCCCGTTTACTCTGATCTGGTCACTTCCAGACCTTAGAAGAGCAAAATGGGTATCTGGTCACCCGGTCCAGGCCAGCTATCCCCAAAGGTAGACCCAGAACTGTGAAATGTGTGGAAGAGCCCCGGGGAAGTCTCTGGGCAGAGTTTTCCAGGAGACTCAGCATTCCCTGCGTGGGGTGGCTTGCGGGAACCAGAGCCGACCCCAGGATTCAACTCTTTTGAATTCTGCCCTTTCACCTTTTCACTGTATGTTCTCTGGGTTTCTTTAAAATAATAAAATGTTCTGTGGTTCTTTTCTCGTCAGTTCGATTGATTTCACTTTCCAGTCCTGCATTCCCTGAACACTCTTATCAGAGGCAGAATGTCCCCTGAATTTGGTTCAAAGTGATTTTATTGCTGTGAGTGGACTTTTTCCTGGCTACTCACATCCTTCATGGATGGCTGTTTCTGTGCACCCAGAATTGATACTGCAAAGGAGCAGTCAATCTAGGGTTCGCTCTCCACATAGTTAATTAATATGCAGAACAGTTGAGAGCCAAAGCATTTTACTGCCCAAGAGATGGGATGTTAGAACATAAAGATGGAGGAGTGCACTTTTTAAAAAAGTCTGCTCCTGGAAACTATACATTAATGACCC